GAAGGAAGGAAGGAAGGAAAAGAGAAAGATTTCAAGGGTTAAAACTGAAGACAAAACTTCTGGCTGCAATCAAAAGTGCCAAGAAGAGTTACCTAGATCAGCTTGCCTTAGGCGAGCAGGAACCCATGCATTCACAAGTTGGCCCAAGGGACAGTTCTGTTGGTTGGTTGGTACCCCACTCAATTGGGATCAAACTTAGAAAAGATGCCCCCCCATTCAGAGACTTCGTGGAAGTCGATTTCAAAGTAGCTGATCATTTAACTCAGGAGGGAGCCCCCCAAAACAATAATTCATTCTGGTTAACCTTGAGAAATGGACAAACAGAGACTTTCCTTAGTAAGCTAAAGCAACTAAGGCCTATACTTCTACCATGTTCAAGGTGGGAAGCCTTTGCCTCTCCCCACACACACATCATGGCCTACAAATTCCATCAATGCCCACAACATGTCCAATTATACTGGAATATTTGGGAAGTCATAGTCCCAAAATATCTGGAGGGCAAAGGCTGTCTCCTCTGATGGTGTTCTGCATGTATCAGAAGCCTCATGGATTGACAGTAGAGATTTAGCCCAACCTTAATGGAAGTCAGTTAAGCCAGTTCCAGGGAGGCAGTGAATCCATGCTGGGTTTTAGCCTAAGAGGTCCAAGCCTACAAGGTTTTTCCATTTTCAGTCAGTTGTTTCCTTCACATTTCTCTCCTCTCCATAATACAGCCCTGCCGGAGCTACATTTAATGTGCTAAACCTGCAGTGGAGATATAGCGACAACATGTTACATTTTCAGTACAGCTCACGGTGACCCCTCCGTAAAGTTCAACATCCCAGCTTGACAGCCGGAAAGCCCATCAAGAGTGAAAAATGTAATCACTCGTGGCGACTCAGGTGGAAGGAAATGGTATGTTTGGGTTGATCGAAATGGGCACGAGGTTTAATGAAATGAAAATGAAATGGCCATTTGAAAGGCTGGTAGGTCATGAGAAGAGACAGAAAGTTCAATAGGGAGACACAGAGGAAAATAAGGACAAAATTAAGGAAAGAGGGGCTACAACAACACAATCAAAACCTCTGGGACAGCTACACAAGTATCTGGGAAGAAGACAAATCATGTGAGCATGAGACAGGGATGGCCAAAGGCATTTTGATGCCTGACGTGAAGGGCAAGATGGCGTTGTCCATCTATAAAAGCCTCCTAGACTGGTTGTAGATTGTTCAGCATTAATAGAGCCAGCATCAGTTCAGCCAGTTCCATGGGGGCAGTGAATGCACTCCAGGTTTTACTCTAAGAGGTACAGGAGCTACCTAGACTGCTGAACCTATTTTGTGGGTAGGATGAAGACTCTCAGGCAGGTCTGATAAAGTTCATAGTAACACCTGGAGTGGATTTACCCCCGCTCAAAATATTGGAGTCATCCACCTCGAACAAGACAGACAACAGTGGCCTTTATTGATCTACTCACTTCTTCATTCATTTCTATTTACTTATGACTATTTATTCTTCATTCCATTCCATTTATTGATTTATAGCTTCTCTTGAAAACTCAACTGGCACTGACATTTCCTTTATTTTCACGCCGCGGTAAAATCTGGCTCTTCACCCAATTTGGCTTGCTTTCCTATCCTTCAGTTCGCTGGGTCCCATTTTGCTCAGATTGATAAATTGTCTTAAATTCGAATGTCTAAAATGATTTACATAGTTCTAGACTTGTTTTTTTTAAAACCCTCCCTGAGATCTGTCAGCTGGCTGGAAAGCTTAGCGAGTGGTGTATCTGGCTGCAGAGCCACTGTGCATCCTGTTAATAGAACCAACCTATGTACCCTTGGGCAAGCTGCACATTCCTGAGATGCCCTTAGGAGAAGAGAATGATTGACAACACACAATTATTACTATTACTGAGAGTTGTAAATATAGGGTAGATTAAAAACACCCACAGAAATACAGAGAGAGGGAGGGAGGGAAAGGAGAGGGGGATTATTAAACCCTTGGATGGATAGCAACAGTATTAAAGCAAAATAACAAAACCGCAGGTAGGCATTCATAAATGCCTAGATAAATAGATGGCACTAATCCGACTCATTTTATCCAACCTGTCAACAATGGTGCCAATAGATGCCAAATTTGGTGCAATAGAGTTGACATTGGGCACACTTCTTGACAGAGAACATTCCTAAGTTTGGGTAACCCAAGAAGGTATCCTTATTTCATGTCAACACTTGATGGCAAAAAAAATAAGTAGGTGGACACCAAGATTCTAACTCATCAAGGGCTTCCATAGATCAACAACAGCATCCATAAGCAATTGATGACTAGAGAGTTGGAAAATATCATCCACCCAGAAAGGGCAGGACGAGATGTCCTAGGAACAACAGGAGGTGAACTGTGACATCTGGATGGCTATCAGCCTTCCATCTCTAGTTTTAGCAAAACTGAGCAAGGTGGACTATGGGTCTAAGTTGGATGGTTGGTTGGTTGGTTGGTTGGTTGGTTGATTGGTTGGTTGGTTGATTGGTTGATTGGTTTATGTTTGTTGCATACCCTACTAATTACTGATTACTACTGTTCTGCTGTACTGCTGAGTTGGTTGGTTGATTGGTTTATGTTGTTGCATACCCTACTAATTAGTGATTAATACTGTTCTGCTGTACTGCTGACAAAACTGTGCTCATGACCTGGGGTTCAATCCCAGGTAGCCGGCTCAAGGTTGACTCAGCCTTCTCTCCTTCTGAGGTTGGCAAAATGAGTACCTAAATTGCTGGAAATGGGGAGGGGAATGTGTGGCCTGCATGATTAATTTGTAAAGCACCCAGCAAGTGCTTTAAACACTGTGGGGCGGTATATAAAAAGCACACTTTGCTTTACTCTGCATGGTTGACACCCAGAGTGAGACAATCATCAAATTAAACAAATAAAATTCAATAAAAGGAAACACCATATATAGTCAAGACTAACTATCAAATCAACCAATCAAACTGAAACAATGTCAGCACACAATTAATATTATTGCAATCTAAAGATGAGCAATCATGCCACATTAGGAGAGGATGCTCTCAAAGGCGTCCTTCAACAGACTTGTTTTGAGCATCCTCTTGAAGGTTGTGAGGGAGGAGGCCAGGCGTAGCTCCATCAGGAGCACATCCCAAAAAGAAGTAGTCACAATCAAGAAGTCCCTGTTTCTGACTGATGACCTCCTGGCCTCCCTTGGTATGCCAACCATGAGGAACATGGCCTGAGAGGAATGGGTGGCACATGTGGATGTTTTAGGGAAAGAGACTAACAAGGTAGCTTCTAAAGTTCCTAACATCCAGCAACCTAGGCTGTATATTTTCAGGAATTCTGGTGCTTTGTTTACTTGTCTGTTAATGCCTCATTGTGGAGGCCATTATGCCTTTACTATGAGTCCCAGAGTCCCATCTTGAAGTTTTGATCAGAACATGGAAGTGCACTTAGATCTGTGGTGAAGCATTCAACCTTTAAGAAAACATAGCTTGAGGAATCAAAACCAGGACACCCAAAATGAACACAACCGAAGCCATATAAGAACCGACAAGCACACGAGGAGCGGAATCCAAATTGTGAATCTCACATCTTACAGCTGGAGCTGGTAAGGGACTTCAATTGATTCTGCAAGGCAAGTCCACAAGCTAACTGTAAGCTAGCCCCACGTTAGGCAATTAAGAGACAAAAGGCAATTAAGCATCGTCAGAAATGATTAGGTAAACACGTCAAGTAATTAAGCATGTGATTTGCGGGTTGTATCAACCGCAGAAATGGATGTTGTCATAAAAGAACCGTCGTACAGAATGCGCCAAGGATGGCAACTCAGTAGAATACTGGCTGTGTTGTGTGTTAAATGTTGTGCACAAGTTTTTGATGTCAGAGGTTCCATTGACAGATTTGGTGAGGACCTTGAGCAAGGAACATAACAATTATCAGATTTTTCTGTACGCTCTCAGTCAATTAACCGTTCAGCAGCCATGCAAACAGGGCACATAGAAGGGACTATATACAAGCATACATGCACATGTATGTTTGTTATATCCTTATAGGATGAATAGCATCTTTGGCAATAGCAAGAGGTTCTGGTTATTTCTGTTTATTCCTCTTTACTGCAAAAAAAGGCATGGGAGAAAGGGTTAATGGGCTCAAGATACAGGAAGGCAGATTTAAGCTGAATATCAGAAAAAAAAACTCTTAACTGTTAGAGCAGTAAGAAAACAGAATCCATGACCTCGGGAAGTTTTGAGTGTTCCACTGCTGGAGGTGTTCAAGAAAAAGCTGGACAACAGTCTATCACATCTACTTTGATTAGGATTCTGCACTG